TTTAAGTCGATTACTGAGGAGTGATTGCTCAGTCCGCCCGAGTCAGAAGCCGAGTCATGGCCGTAAATCACCCGACGTCAGATCGAGTGGAATCTAGTAGTTGATCAGTTTATCTGAGATGTTTTTCATTTCAAAGAGAAACATTCCAGTATCAGCCTTGAGAGGGAAAATAATAGAGGCTAGGGTTTTGGTAAAAGTAGAGAATATAGTTGAAACTATAGGCAAGGGATATTTGCCGGTGCGAGATTCATTTTTAAGCGATAGAACAACGGTGCCAATGCCGGCAATGCAAGAGATTGCCATTTGCTTCTAGCCTTCTTATGCATCGATGTGTATCGGTATATTCCTGAAAAGCCCTCAATAGAATGCAACTATAAGTGGGCCTATTTTGTTTCCGAATTTAACGGCTTAAAGAGCCACAATTACTTTTTAGGCTGCATGTTGTGTTCAGCTTTCTTAGCCGTCAGTTTCAAGTGGTCGTAGTGAGGCGAATAATATAGGAGGTATACATCGTCACCGAGTGACTGCAACTGAGTACTTTAATTAATAATGCTGTTGTACTGCTTCACATGATCCTTAACTGCGAGTCTTCTTATATTTGTTATGGTCTCCATCTCCATTATGCTCTAGCTATATATCAAGATTGATACAAAATTATGTAAGAACTGACTAATGCCTGACTATCGGCCACGTGGTATCACTGAGGACCTTTTTAAGCACCTTTGACCACAATAGCACTATGCTACATTTCCTAATGCTCGCACCTCTAAATACAAATCCATTGTTCAAAGTCATTGGCCAATTTTGGGATTAGCAACCGAACGTTACATGCAATTCAGAGTGCTTTGGAGTTTCGTAAGGGCTCAATTCTGCTGGGGCAACATTGTTAGTTGTTCTCCTTGACTAACTTCATCATGAGGCCAACAAAGCCTTCTCCTTATTGTGATGACTTTGAATAGTACAAGAATGTTTTTCATGATGTATTATATAAAAGGGTTCTTTAATGGGGTTGGGCCAACAATCATTTGATGCCTGAATAATAGACTATTTACCACCATCAAGGATTTGTTGCCAGTATGGAAAGAAGCTTATGCCACCAGAATAGCGCAGCGCGGTTATACTAAAAATAGATGTCACGAGATCGGACCCCCCGCATGACTCAGACAAACAGAACACAAAGGTCATAGTAAATGTAAAGCGGTTTTCATTACGCTCGCTAGTTTCTTTATATTTTCTCGTCGTTTTTTTTGACAAAATGGTCAGTACGAAATATTGCTGCTGGGGAAGATGTAATAGTGATTCAAGATACCCCGATAGACTTCCA